TAGCCTGCCTCTTATCTCAACTAGAGGCAGCACCAGCCTGCCAGCAGGTATTTAGAAATGGGTGGGCATTCAGGATTGTCACAATGACCAGGGATTGCCACTGGGCTTTAGCAGACAAGGCCAGGATGCTGAATGTCTGTGCAGAGTGGGTCACGCCTGTCTAATGAAGAATCGCGCCACCTGGAATAGGGTCTCGGTTAGAAAAGTCGAGGGCAGGAAAGGAGAGGAAAGTTGTTTAGGATAAAGAGGGTTTAGAATAAAGCAGGGATTTACCCACAACCTCTGTGGGTAACAGAGTGGGAGGCAACTGAAGGGATTCAGGTGCAGGTGGCAGGAACCGGGAGAGAAGCCTGTCCCAGAGAAGCAGATGTGGCTTTAGGGATGCAGGAGCTTGAGGATGGGGACCAAAAAATGAGGCGAGCGCTGGAGGAGAGAAACTGGCAGAGCGACGGAAGCAGAAAAGGACAGCTCATTAGGCAGAAGGATCTGAAGGAAAAGGACCCACATCTTGAGACCTGAGCCGGCAGGCAGATTCCACCCGGTTACGGACAAACCCACAAAGGAAGCCTGTGGAGAGAGGGTGGTGCAGGAGGGCTGTAATGAAAACAATTTTGCAACCTTAGTTATAGCATTCGTCAACCTTAAACTATAGCTATTCTGCATTTAAATATAGCATTGGCTCTGGAGAAGACTCCAAAGTCTTTATTTTTACTGATCCAATTGACTGTTTTGAAAACCCGCTCTGTGAACCCTGCAGAAGATAATCATCAAAATATGTTCCTGGAAGTGCCCAGAGAAAGACCTTTTATTTAATTCCTCGAATCTCTCCCCCTTGCTGACTCAGATGGAAGAATGCAGTCCCAGAAAGGCGAAAGAGCGAACCAAGGACACATTTTTGGTCAACCAAAAGAAAGCCGGCATCGGCGACCACAGTTGAGTTAGCAGTTGGTTGACAGGTCCGGGCTATTTTTTTTTCTACCCTCAAAGGGAAAGCTGAACAAGCTCAACCCCAGTGGGGTCAGTGGCCGTGCTTAGCAATGCACCAAGGCATGCACCTTCCGTTAAACTTGCTACACGGCTCTGTGGGAGCAGAGGCTTAAAAAAAACACAGGAATTTCTCCTCTTGTGTCTATCCTTCTTTCTGGAGTTTGAGATGGATATTATGACATAGCGGATGGCAGGAAGAGAAGCCTTTTCAAATCTCTGCCGGTAGCCACTATTTTCTGGGTTTGCGCTTGCAACCATGGCCTTGAGCTTCACAGGCTATTTAACTTTTTTCTAAGCACAACGCTTCTTCATTCATACATTCTCTGACCAGAACAATCTTGGTATAATGTCATGAGCTTCTGCTTGCAAAGGGCTCGGCTTCTAAGAGCCTCACAAATGCTTTGGACCATGTTCTCAGTAAGTGAACGAGGCTAAAGTAGCAATTTGCTACAGAATTCCAGACATAGGTGGGTCAGGGGTCCCCATGGTCCAGGGCTTAGTGTTGGAAAACAGGAAATCCAAGGGATTAGACGGAGAAGATTGTTTTGGGGATTGGGGAGGGCTGTGAGTTATGGAGCTGAGATGTCAGTGGAGGGAAAGTGGCCAAACACTGATGGTCCCCTGGTCAGGAGCGATCTGAGATCCTCACTGGCAGCTGCTACTTCCCTTCCCATGGGCCACTACCGGAAAGCTGTCGTTAGGAATTTCCACTGGCTAACAATTGCGAATTGGGGGGATTGTCCACTGGGAGAGTTGGTAATAACAAAGCTCTGTGTTTTTGAGAGGGTGTCTGCTGAAGGCTGGTGTCAGCCTTCCTTGATTTAAATCATCCCAGATTCCCTGCAAAGGCTATAAACAGTGAAGTGATGAAATTGGCCACAGAGCCAGAACAGGGAGGAGGCCCAGTCATAGGGGAGGGCAGAGGAGCTCATCACGGATGGAGAGGAATGAGGATCAGGTTCGAGGAGGCAGCTCTGCTCTAAGGGATGGAAGGAATACCTCCCCATGGGGGCCCGGGGCGGTGGAGAATACAGCCCACAGCATGGTTCTGGCTGGGATCATCTGGGGGTGAGAGGCCGTGGCTAGGAGGGTGAGGTTTTGGTCAGACAGGAACAGAAGGCACCAAGAATTCCCCTGCCTTGCCCCAGGCATTAGTTTATGGGAAGGAGACTGTAATCCTGGTGACCGCCCAGGCCAGGCTTCCTTGTAAACTGTTGGCAGACTGATGATGGGACAGCTGTCCAAGGAGAGCTGAAAGTGATGCTTCTTAGGATACTCATGAAAAGGAACTTCTCATGCTTTCTTCTTCTGCCGCTTTACCGTCCAGAGCGCTTGCCCGCACACTCCCAGCACACACCCACTAGCGCCCCAGAAAGCAGAACCTACCTGGACTCTCCTGTTGCGGAAAGGAAAATCTGGATTTAGGAAGCTCTGCTACCACCTGACTCTATGACTTTAGGCAGGCATTAAAAACCTCACACCATGTATACACAGGCACACACACACACACACTCATGGGCAAACATGCATGTGCACACATGTGCAAGCACACACAGGCATGCACACATATACATGTGTACATGCACAGGCACACATACAGGTATGCATACATACTCACGTGTGTACATGCACAAGCACACACAGGCATGCGCACATACGTGTATATGCACAGGCACACAGGTATGCATGCATACTCACACGTGTACATGCACAGGCATGCGCACATACTCACATGCATACATGCAAAGGCACACACCACAGGCATGCACACATACACATGCATACATGCACAGGCACACAGCATAGGCATGCATGCATACTCACACATACACAGTACACACCCTCATGCACACATGCACACACATACCATTCAGTTTCCTCATCTGTCAAATCAGGAGAAAATGTTCTCACTGTCTCTCAGGCTAACTATAGGGATCAAATGGGATAACAGATGTGAGAGCACTTTCAAAATCCTAAACCCCAGGTCTCCTTTGTCCCCCCAGATTTATTCAGTCTCTGGGGTGGAGCTCTGACTGATGTTCTTCCCTTCAAAGTGCCCCAAAGAGCTTCACAGGCAGGCATAGAACTGCTACTGGAAAGCATAATACCAGATCCTTTGTTGTTTCGTTTGAAATTGTGTTTGTTGGGCCTTTCTCTGTGCCAGCCATCATGCTAGGGTCATTGGATAAAGCAGAGAACAAGACAGATGTAGTCCCTGCCCTCAGAACTGAAGCGCTGGGGAAGAGAGCTGCTGCATGAACAGGAGAGGCACATGGCATTCTTCCACAGGAGAGCCCAGAGCCTAAGGCCCTGGTCAACAGGGTCTTACGCTAGTCTGGGAGCTCAAGAAAGACTGCTGGGGAAGTGACGTTTAAGCCATGCATGAAGGCCAAGCAGAGGGCATTCATGGCCATGATGGTGGCATCTATAATTTGGTGTCACCCTCGGTCCCCTCCCTACTGAGTCCACTTGGAGCTGCTTTTGCTTACCCGCGGTGCTTGCTGACTGCATCTCAGCTCCCGTGTTGATCACAATGGCTGTGGTATGGTATTCGGGCCTCAGGTGCTCATGGGTCTAGGATGCAACTTAAGATGCCCATCAGTCATGGTCAGGAGCCCCTGAGACTCCACAGCTCATTCATGCACCACTGTCTTCTTGTCTTCCCACTGACCTTGTAATTGCAGAAGCAAGATTTCTCAGCACTTGGTGGAACCTTTGCTCTTTACCTCAAGTTGGTTGTAGGTATGGTAGAAAAGATTTCTGAGTTCACATCTTGGCTTCACCAGTCCTATTCTGTGTGCTGCTAAGCAAATTCTTCACTTCCCTGAACCTCAGTCTTACCGTCCATAAATGTGATACTTTGGACTGTAAAGTTTATAAGGTGTTGTGAAGATTGCCTTGAGGCAAAACCCAGCACTTTATTGCATTAAAAACAAGAAAGGAGAAGAGCAAAATTTGAAGCTTCTACTTCTAGGATTATCAACTTAAAATATTCTCTGGTTATAAAATGTAGGCATTAAATAAACTACAGACATACAGCTAAGTGCATAGCTAAAGGTGAAAGAAAACAGGGAATCCTTAAGGACCCAAAAAACAAGCAAAGAACGGGGGGAGAGAGAGAGAAAGAAAGAAAGGAGGGAGGGATAGAAAGAAAAAGAAAATGAGAGGGAGGGGAGAGGAAGGGAGGGAGAGAGAGGGAGAGGGAGGAGAGAAAGAGAGGAAGAGAGAGAAAGGAGGGAAGGAGGGAGAGAAAGGAAGGAAGAAAGGAAAGAAGGAAGGGAGGGAGGGAGGAAGGGAAAAGCCAAGTGTTACAAGGCGTGGGAGTTGAAGGGTGTCTGAGGAACGAGAGCAATCTTCTGAGTGAGGGGTACATCATTTAGGTTTTAGTTACAGACCATATAGTCCCGGGAAATAAGCACTGAGTCAGCCTCTGGCAGGAGACCTTCTTCTCCTAAGGTCCCTTGACATGCTAGCAGGTCCTGGGTGAGACGGTGTGAGGCAGGGATCTGCACCCATCCTGTCTCCTCCCCTCTCTGGCCTTCTCCTCTTCACAGCCTCCCAGCTATGCTGGAGGCAAAGTCTTGATGGGGACTGTGCTGGGGTCAGATTCAGCCTTGTCCCTGGAGAAGAGGAATTCTGCTTGGGTGACCAAGTGTTGGGGAGTAGAAGGATGCTAAGCCAGAGTAAGCAGCCAGCTATTATTTCTCCTTACTCCACTTCCAGGGGGTTGAGTGAGCTGCAGATATAGCAGGACTAGAGCAGGCACTGAGCTGACCCATGTGTCTTTCCCAGCGTGTGGGAAATGGGGATCTCTCCTTATCCAGAGGGTTGAGATATCCCAGCTCCTCAGCCACCTAATGCCTATGTCCACTCCCTTTTCATAGCTTACATCAGGCCACCTGGAGCGCAGTGAAGTGGCTCTGGGATAGAGGTGGGCACAGGATGTGGGGACTGGTAAACAAAAGGAGATGACTGGGATGGCTTTGGGTCTGACGGCACTGGTTTCGTTATAGTGAGGTCGGCCGGCAGTGATGGAGATGCCCTGTGCGTTACAGAAGAGGACCTGGCGGGTGATGACGAGGACATGCCGACCTTCCCATGCGCCCAGGAGGGTAAGGACTCTGGGGCTGTCCCTCATCTCCACTCTGGGCTGAGAGATCCCTGTCTCCATCCCCAGGCCAGTAAGAGACTTGTCTCTTCAGGTGGTTTCAAAAGCCTGGCTGTCCTTTCCCCACTGCTTCCTGGATGTGAAAGGGCAGAGTTCATGGCTCTGGGTGTGCAGTACCAATGAAGTCAAAGGAGTTTTAAAAAACTTTTTAGACAACATGGTTTTGCTGTGTCGCCCAGGCTGATATGAGTGGTGCAACCATAGATCACTGCAGCCTCAAATTCCTGGGCTCAAGTGATCCTCCCACCTCAGCCTCTTAAGCAGCTGTGACCATAGGCACACACCATGCCTGGATACATTTTTTAAAACTTTTTGTAGATACAAGGGTCTTACTATGTTGCCCAGGCTGGTCTCAAACTCCTGGCCTCAAGTGATCTGCCTGCCTCTGCCTCCAAAATTGCTGGCTTTGTAGATGTGAGCCACTGTGCTTGGCCTGAAATCAAAGCTTGGCACAAGTGCTACCTGTCTCCTGGGCTCCTACCAAGATCCATCAAGGACTTCTGCCATCTCCCAGAGCCACATACCCTATCCCTGGGCCTGTCTTCTAGCTGGCTGGGACCGTCCACTTCATTGTATCCCAGGCCACCCACAGTGCTGTTTGGAATGTGGTCTCTCGGTGGCTTTGGTGTGGATTAGAGCAGTTGTTCTCAACCCTGGCTCTGCATTGCAATCACCCATGGATGCATGAGACCAACCCCTGGAAATTCCGATTTATTTGGCCTGGAGTGTGAACTGGGCATCAGGATTTTTAAACATCCCAGTACTCAGAAAGTGCAGCTAAAGTTGAGTTCACCATAGGAATTCGCAACTGGGCCATCGCTGCATTCCCGTTGCCTGCTGGCCACCTGCCCACGTATCCAGGAACATCTGGCTCCCTCCTTCCTTTTTACCAGCAACTCAACTGGTGGACCGCGATATTTGTTTGGTTTCCAGGAGAATGTCTGGTTCCCTGAAAAGTCTGGGGACTGGACACCGACATTCTGGTTTTCCAGGGACTAAGGGGATCCCCAGGGTGTGGGACTTCCCATTTTCTTTTTTATTTTTTTAAACAGTGATGGGATCTTGCTATGTTGCCCAGGCTGGCCTCAAACTCCTGGACTCAAGTGATCCTCCTGCCTCAGCCTCCTAAAGTGCTGGGATTACAGGCATGAGCCACTGCACCCAATGGACCTTCAGTTTTAAAACCTAGATAATCTTAGCAAACCAGGATGATCTGCGCCATGCTGAGGCGTTCCTATGACAGACTTTCATTGCTAAAACCCAGAAAGTCTTGGGCAAGCCGGGGCAAGTTGGTCACTCAGTGGGGCCTCAGGCTGGCTGCCTATGCTGTGGGTCATCAGTAGGATCAATAGAGAGGGAAGAGGTATTTCCCCTCCCATGGACAGACATAGAAGACACCATAGAGAGAGTATGATGATGGGGGCTGTTCTTTGAAGTCCGGACTCAACTGAGCCTCCTGCATTCCAGAAAGCATCAGCACCTAGAGAAAGGCTGTAGGACAGATAGCGAATGAGGGTCGAGAACAGCTCCCCTTCTGAGCCTGGTTAGAATGTGATGAGACAGGCCAGAGCAGGAACATGGAAGCCTGGTCCACTGGCCTAAGCTATTGTCCTTCTTATGTCCCCCACAGGCCAGCCGGGGCTCCGCTGCAGCCGCTGCCAGAAGAACCTGTCTTTGCACACATCGGTGCGGATTCTTTACCTCTTCCTGGCACTGCTCCTGGTGGCCGTGGCTGTGCTGGCCTCTCTGGGTGAGTCCAGGGCTCGCCCGTCTCAGGCTGCAGAGGGGTTTCTGGTCAGGGATCTGGCACCAAAGCTTCCTTGCAAAGACAAACACTTTGTCTTTCCCCAGCATCTTCCTGGCTAGGGAATCTCTATGCCTAATCCAGACTGCAGAGACTGACAATTGACGAGGTCTGTGCCCTTCAGGAAGGCACCCGCCTCTGGGGACCGCTGCTTTCCCGCTGGTGTAATGAGATGATAAGACTAGGTCAGTGTTTCTCCGTTTCAGCTCCATGTTGGAGCCACCTCCGAGCTTTAAAGAATGTTGATATCTGGGCCCCACCCCAATCATGGAATTAATTCAGTATCTTTTAGCTCTCCTGACGATTCTGTTGTTCACACAGGCTTGAGATCACTGAATTGAGTGACTTCTAAGCCCCCTTTCATGGTCTATGTGAGTGTTTCTCATAGTGAGGCTGGATGCCTACTGCAGCAATTTCACCTTCAGTGTTTGTTAAAATGCAAATTCCTGGGTCTCACCCAGCCAGACCTGCTGAGACCAAGGAATCTGGGGGGTTCTGCAGGTGAGATCCAGGGATCTGAGGTTTGGTTCTTCTCATACACATTAGAGTTTGTAGTGGCTGACCCGAGTCACCGCACATAGCCAGAGACAGGTCACTTCCACCTTCCAGATGCAGACAGACTGTGGTAAACTGGTTACAGCAAATTTGGTGGCATCTCACTGTAATCCCATTCCAATCTTAGCTTCAAACTTTGAAAATCCAGGCTCCAGTAGGTTTGTTTGTTTCAATCTATTGGATTTTAGAAACAAGGCTGGGAGTAGGGAGAGGGAGTCAAGGCTCTGAGGGGGGCTTCCCAGCTCTCATGTGGACCCTGAGCCTGCACATTCCTAAGGGGAGGTGCCTCATCCTGGTCCTGGCTGGAGATATTCAGCAACCAGCCTGCTTAGCTTGAAGGCAAGAGGCCAGCATACTAATGATCTGAATAGACATAAGTTGTCTTCCAGTAATCCAAAGGCATTAATTAATCCAACACAAGCCGAGCGCCTGCACTGTGCCAGGCTCTGGGAATGCTGGGTTGTGTCAATTACATTTCACCATCAAGGGGCGTGGTTCTTAACCCTCATGGGGGGATACTGGAATCCCTTGGAAAACATTTAAAAATACGTGCCAGAGTAACCCCCCCCACTCACTCCAGATGAATTAAATCATAATCTCTGGGTGGGACCCAGGCCTTAGTCATTTATAAATCGCCTCAGGGGATTCCAATGTGCAGCTAGATTTAAGGACCTAGAGTTTCAGACGTTCCCAAGCCCCTCACCACCTGTCTCTGCTAAATCAATTCACAGGGTCTGGCCTTTCAGAAAGTGGCCAAAGTCCTGGGCCAGAGGAGGGAAGGAGCCACGGTCTTCCTATCAGAGGCCACAAACTGGCTGTCGGAGAACTTGTCAAGATTTCTGGCCACTCCTTTTAGGGTTTCAGCTCAGAGCACCCAAGGGACCCGGGGCCATTATCAAAGCTCCAAGAGCCACAGGCTCAGGCCCAGAGAAGAGCATAGGCACCATAGAGTTTCAGAGAGGACGACAGGATGCGAGACACTGTCACATACGTAACGTTCATGAGTCAGCCTGGCAGGCTGGAGTGGGAGGCTGGCCCCACTCCTCAAGGGAGGGAACAGTCCTGGGGAGGAGACATCATTTGTCCTGAGATCCAGCATGAATGCACAGAGGATCAGAAGAACCGGGGTGAGGAGTACATGTTTGTGAACCGTGGGAGACCTTTGGGTGTCCTTTTTTTGTTTTTGCCTCCAGCTTGGGTATCCCAGGTCCCTAGAACAGTGTTGGCACCATCCTGGCCTAAATGGCAGGTGCCCAATAATATCTCTTGAAAGAATGTCTATAGATTTGTAAAGCATGTGTGTGTGTGTGTGTATATGCGTGTGTGTATGTGTGTATGTGTGAGTGTGTGAACAGACCTGCTCAATGTTTTACACCAGGATGGTGACCAAGGTCTGGAGGGTTGGAAAAATCAGTCAGCAGACATTACAAACCAACTCGTTCATTGAACCAAGTACTTTTTTTGTAGTCAAGTGCACACTGGGGTCCAAGAACTATATTCTATACTGGGCAGCATACTGCTTGGGAAAACACAGACCCTGCCTTCATGGAGTTTGTAATCTAGAGCGGAGCTCAGCCATTCATTTCTGTAAAGGGCTACATAGTAAATATTTTAGGCTCTTCAGGTTACATCTGGTCTTTGTCACAACCAAACTCTCATCACAGAGCAAAAACAGCAACAGGTAGTCTGTAAATGAACAGGGGTGGCAGCTCCCATAAAACAGACATCAGGCTGGATTTCACCTGCAGGCCATTGTTTTCCACCCCCCGGTCTAGAGCAGTGATCTCTAAACATTTTTGACTGTGCACACCATCAGTAAAAAATTTGTTTAAAATGCATCCAAAGACCAGGCACAGTGACTCACACCTGTAATCCCAGCACTTTGGGCAGCCGAGGTGGGCAGCTCACTAGGTCGGGAGATCAAGATCACCCTGACCAACGTGGTAAAACCCCATCTCTACTAAAAATACAAAAATTAGTCAGGTGTGGTGGTGCATGCCTGTAATCCCAGCTACTAGGGAGGCTGAGGCAGGAGAATTGCTTGAACCAGGGAGTCAGAGGTTGCAGTGAGCTGAGATTGCACCACCGCACTCCAGCCTGGCAACAGAGTGAGACTTCATCTCAAAAAAAAAAAAAAAATTCAAAACTTGACACAGATTGATGAATGGGTGAGAGAGATGGATGAATATAAAATAAATACAGAAAAATGCTACTTGTGGATTCTAGGTGATAGGCATATAGGTCTTCACTATACAAGTCCTTCTATTCTTTTGTTTGAAAAATTTTATAATTAAATGTTAGAAAAGAAAAAGTTGATAGGCTCACACCTCCAAAACATACCTATTTATTTATAAGTGATGTATATGTATTATTTGCCATATTGTCTACATTATAAAACATAGTTTTAAAGGGATGAAAAAACATCTATAATGTTAGGAAAATGGCATAAAAAGCAAATATGTAATTATTAATCCTGAAATACACAATGAAGAAATAAGCAAGGCCAGGTGCAGTGGCTCATGTCTATAACCCCAGCATCTTGGGAGGCCAAGGTGGGAGGATCACTTGAGCCCAGGAATTTGAGGCCAGCCTGGGCAACATAGTGAGACCTCATCTTATTTCAATTAAAAAAAAATGGAAAATTAACCGAGGATGGTAACATGTGCCAGTAGCCCCAGCTACCTAGGGGGCTGAGGTGGGATGATCACTTGAGCCCAGGAGATTGAGGCTGCAGTGAGCCATGATCACACCATTGTACTCCAGCCTGGGTGACAGAGTGTGACTCTATCTCAAAAAAAAAAAATAAAAGAAAGAAAGTGAATGGATGAATGAATTATATGGAATGGAGTGAGCCTTGGCTATTGACTTGGAAGTAGACTTAATGAAGAATAGGAATCAAAGTCACTCAATCTCTCTGTATCTCTTTTCATCTATGCATGGGATCTTAATTATAGGGAGGCTCAAATGGAATAATAACTATTGTAAACTACAAAGTGCTTATCTCCTGTAACAGCATGTGATTATTTCCAAACTCTCTCAACATGTCACTGTCACTAATTAAGTAAATCTCCTGACAGCTCTGAGATGTACAATACTAACTGGAGCCTGGAGATTCCAAATAATTCAAAAGCAGAGTTTTGGAGTCGATGAGAGCCTTCGAGTCATCGAAGTCCACATTTTCATTTTATGTATGATTGCCTTGAGCTCAGGAAAGGGAACTGACTTGCCTAAAGTCACCCAACAGGTGTGAAGTAAACTAGGACCAGAAGCTGTGTTACTCAGTGCTCTTGCTGGGGCTGATTCTTCCCTTTTGTACTTGACCTTAAGAGGATATGTGGGAAACATCTTGCTGAACCTTAGAACAGCCCATGCCTTCCCTCACTAGCAGGCCTATCCGGGTACCTGCTGGAGAAAGCTGGGCATCCTGCTGCTGCCAAGACGTGTTCCAACCACTGACCACACGACCCCCTTATTAGAGTGCGAGGCTGCCCATGGGGTAGAAACTGGTGTAACCTTTTCTGGGCAGCAGTTTGGCAGGTTTTATCAAGGACTTCAACAATGTTAATACCCTTGGCACCCGTAAGTCTACTTTGAGCAATTTATCCCAAGAGAATTATCACAGACACAGCACCATCATATGTAAGGATTATTTCTAGAATTAAGCATTACTTACATATATATACATTTTTTGAGAGGGAGTTTCACTCTTGTTACCCAGGCTAGAGTGCAATAGCATGATCTCGGCTCATGGTAACCTCCGCCTCCCAGGTTCAAGCAATTCTCCTGCCTCAGCCTCCCAAGTAGCTGGAACTACAGGCATGTGCCACCATGCCCAGCTAATTTTTGTATTTTTAGTAGAGACGGGGTTTCACCATGTTGACCAGGATGGTCTCGATCTCTTGACCTCGTGATCCATCTGCCTCGGCCTCCCAAAGTGCTGGGATACATTACTTACATTTATAGAACAAGTTTTATTTATGAGCTCAGAAGAGAAGGGACTTTAAGTGTCCCCAACAATAGGGGATTCTTATATAATTGTTGTATTATTTATATAGAGTGCCATGCCAATACCAAAAGTAATTATTTTAAAGTGATTTAAGCCTGGATGGGAAAGTGTCCATGATATGATACCAACAAAGCAACATAAAAGAAAACAGATGAGTTGTTTGGAGCATCCCAGGTTTGCTTTTCTTTTCTAAGAAAGTACAGTCATCCCCACCTAGCCACAGTTTCAGTTCCCTGAGGTCAATCAGCGACATCATGGCTTGATGATCCCCCTTCTGACATAAGGTAAGGGTCAGTAGTAGCCCAACGCTAAGTCACGATGCCTGTGTCACTCACCTCCCTGTATCCCATCACGTAGGCTTGGCATCATCTCATATCAGCACAAGAAGAAGGGTGAGTACAGTACAATAAGGTATTCTCAGACAGAGACCATACTTACATAACTTTTATTACAGCATATTGTTATAATAGTTCTGTTTTATTATTAGCTGTTGTTACTCTCTTACTAGGCCTAATTTATAAATGAGACTTTATCTTAAGTATGTTCGTACAGGAAAACACATAGTCTATATAGGGGTTCGTACTTTCAGGTTTCAAGCATCCACTGGGGGTCTTGGAATGTATCCCCTGCAGGTAAGGGCGAAACTGCATATATCTGTGTGGCTGAAGAATGGTTATCAATGTAAACAAGACCAGAACAAACACATGAAAACACTGATGGCAGCAATCTTTGGGTGGTAGGAATAAGAATAATTTAAAAAATTTTTTTTTCCTGAATTTTCCCTATTTCATTCTATGATCAGGTCCTATTTCTAAAATGTGGGGTGCGGGGTGAGTAATTATGTTTTCAAGGGGCCTTGTTGCAAACTCTGGCCATGAGAAGTATGTTCTCTGACCACCATGAAGAAGCCTGAGAGGAGGAGGGGGAAAGGTTTTGGTTGCAGAGGAGCTAATAAAGTTGCCGTCTCAAGGAATGACTACTGTTTCTCTGAGCTTAGACCCTGCCCCAGCTCCTCATCTGTTTTCCCTACAGTTTTCAGAAGAGTGGACTCTCTCTCCGAAGACATCTCCTTGACCCAGTCTATTTATGACAAGAAGCTTGTGCTAATGCAGAAAAATCTCCAGGGCCTGGGTAAGTGGTGTGTTGATGATAACTGTGATACAAGGCCAGTGATCATCAGGGTGGGCAAAGTTGCCCTCCTCATGCCACAGTGCCCCAGTGCCAGGTAACCTTTGCCAGCCTTCTAGGCACAGAGGTCATCCCCAGCTCCCTGCTCCCTCCTCAGCCGGATCTCCATCCACTGGAGGAGGGCTGCTACCCTGGGATACTCCTAGGACTGGAGCAGGGAATTCTGGGTGGAGCACAGCTCTAGTCAGAGTCTGCAGGCAGAAAAGGAAGCCAAAGATGGTCTATTCCCAAAATAGCTTCATGCATCTGAAATGATGAGAGTTTCAAGATCTTGCAAAACTCCTGCCAGGTCAACCCTTTCCTCATTATTGCCTTGAGCCATGCCACAATTCTTTTTTTTCTTGTCTTTTTTAAAATATATACGATCTCATCTATAATTTCAATTTTTGTTATAGATTAAGGGATTCATGTGCAGGTTTTTTACATGGGTAACACTGAGGTTTAGGGTAGGAATGATCCCATCACCCAGGTAGTGAGCCTAGGTACTCAATAGGTGGTTTTCAGCCAAGAACCCCCTTCCCCCTCCCTCATAGTGGGCCTTGATGTCTGTTTCTCCCATCTCTATGTCTTCATGTATGCAACCTTGCTCCCACTTACACGTGAGAGCATGTGGTCTTTGGTTTTCTACTCTTCCGTTAATTTGCTTGGGTCATGCCACAATTCTTGATGTTCTTTATCTCCTGCTTTAACCTGGAAAAATCTAAGAGAGAATGAGACAGAAGGAGCAATGATAGAAGGTTTAGTGGGGTCTTCTCTGATGCAAATAAAAGGTACTGGTCTGCTACCGATATGTGTGGCTGTTTGCCAAGCCACTTCTCTGCGCCTCATTCCTCATGAGTCAGAAGTCAAAAATCCCTATGCCACCTTCTCTGCAAATTTATTGTTGTAAGATAATTGAATAAGATAACAGATATTAAAATATTGGCATAAATTTTTAAACGAAGTTTAAATGGGAAGTTCCTGGCCACTTAAGACAAATTATGAAGATATATTCTTGAGAATTTGGTGGTGAGAAGAAAAAAACATCCTAAATGCTACATTTCAGATCAGAGTCAAGACAGTTGGTAAAAATGAGATTTCATAGATGTGGCAAGGCTTTTCCAAGAAGAATTTTATACCAGGACTTAGGGAAGAAAGCAGATTTGGGAAGCTACTTACCAGTTCCTTATGCTCTGAAATATTTAGTTTAAAGAGAAAGCATTGTACCATGGCCCTTCAGCAACTCAGACTATTGTCTCTTTCTCCTAAAGATCCAAAAGCCCTGAACAACTGCTCTTTCTGCCATGAAGCTGGGCAGCTGGGGCCCGCGATCCAAAAACTGCAGGAGGAGCTGGAGGGAATTCAGAAGCTGCTTCTGGCCCAGGAGGTGCAGCTAGACCAGACCTTGCAGGCCCAGGAGGTGCTCTCCACCACCAGCAGGCAGATATCGCAGGAGATGGGCAGTTGCTCCTTCTCCATCCACCAGGTTAACCAGTCTCTGGGGCTCTTCCTGGCCCAGGTGAGAGGCTGGCAGGCCACCACAGCTGGCCTGGACCTCTCTCTGAAGGACCTCACCCAGGAATGCTACGATGTCAAGGCTGCAGTGCACCAGATCAATTTCACCGTGGGGCAGACTTCCGAATGGATCCACGGGATCCAGCGGAAGACAGACGAGGAGACCCTGACCCTCCAGAAGATTGTCACCGACTGGCAGAACTACACCCGGCTCTTCAGTGGCCTGCGTACCACCTCCACCAAGACTGGAGAGGCAGTCAAGAACATCCAGGCCACCCTGGGGGCCTCCTCACAGCGCATCAGCCAGAACTCTGAGAGCATGCATGGCCTGGTACTGCAGGTCATGGGCTTGCAGCTGCAGCTGGACAACATCTCTTCCCTCCTGGACGACCATGAGGAGAACATGCATGATCTCCAGTACCACACCCGCTACGCCCAGAACCGCACTGTGGAGAGGTTTGAGTCTCTGGAAGGACGCATGGCTTCTCACGAGATTGAAATTGGTACCATCTTCACCAACATCAATGCCACCGACAACCACGTGCACAGCATGCTCAAGTACCTGGATGACGTGCGGCTCTCCTGCACGCTGGGCTTCCACACCCATGCTGAGGAGCTCTACTACCTGAACAAGTCCGTCTCCCTCATGCTGGGCACCACAGACCTGCTCCGAGAGCGCTTCAGCCTACTCAGCGCCCGGCTGGACCTCAACGTCCGGAACCTCTCCATGATCATGGAGGAGATGAAGGCAGTGGACACACAGCATGGAGAAATCCTTCGCAATGTCACCATCCTACGAGGTAAGAGCTGTGTCCAGGCAGGGCTGCTCCAAAGCGTCCACTGAGCCTTGGTGATCTTGCTGGACACAGAAGTACCTGGTTTTAGGCAAAGTACTAGTGGGCTAACACAATCCTATAGCAAATGCCTAGAGCAATAGGCAGCTTTAAGAAATGTTCTTGCATTATCCAGGCATGGTGGTGTGTACCTGTACTCCCAGCTGCTTGGGCAGAAGGATCACTGGAGCCCAGGAGGTTGAGGCTGCAGTGAGCTATGATTGCATCACTGCACTGCAGCCTGGGAGACAGAGTGAGTCCTTGTCTCAAAAAAAAAAGAGAGAGAGAGAAAAGAAAAAGAACATCTTTGTAAACCTCTTTTGCAAAGGTATTGTGGCTTCTAACTTCACCTGTTATACAAATCTGGACTTTTATATTTAGATTTGTTTAACCATGTCTTTTGAAAACTATCTCCTCTTCTTTTTTCCCTTCCCACACCCCCCATTAATGCTCCCAACCACCCAACCCTCTGCCCCTGGAGGCTGTCGCTCTGACACATTCTTCTCCTCCCACCTCCTTCATGTCCTCCATATCTATCAGGGTTCTACAGAGAAACAGAATCAACAGTGTATGAGATAGATAGATGATAGATAGATAGATAGATAGATAGATAGATAGATAGATAGATGATAGATAGATAATAGATAGATAGATAGATCCAGAGAAACAGAATCAATAGTGTATAGAGATAGGTAGGTATGTAGGTAGGTAAGTAGGTAGACAGATAGATATCAATCCAGAGAAACAGAATCAATAGTGTATAAAGACAGATGATTGATAGATGATAGATAGATAGATCCAGAGAAACAGAATCAATAATGTATAGAGATAGGTAGGTAGGTAGGTAGGTAGGTAGGTAGATAGATAGATAGATAGATTGATTGATCCAGAGAAATAGAATCAATAGTGTATAGAGATACATAGACGATCGATAGATAGAGACGATATAGATAGATATGATAAAGATGAGAGATATAGATGACAGATAGAGATAGATAGATAGATAGATAGATAGATAGATAGATAGATAGATGAATATTATAAGGAATTGGCTCATGTAATTAGAAAGACTGGCAAGTCCAAAATCCACAGAGCTTATGTTCCAGTTTGAAGACAATCAGGCAGGAAGAATTCCTTCTTACTTGGAAGAGGCTCAGGTTTTTGTTCTACTCAGGCCTTCAACTGATTAGATGAGTCCACTCATGCTAGGGAGGGCAACCTGCTTGACGCAGACTACATGTTTAAATGTTAATCTTACCCTAAAATATCCTCACAGAAGGCCCCAGAATTATATTTGACCAAATACCTGACCTAGTCGAGGTGACACATAAAATAACAATCACAAGCCCACACTTTGTCAACTTGGCCCCCGTCCACATCTCCTTAAACCATACTTAATCTCCAAATAAAGACAACAAGCAAGGTCATAATTCCACCTAATGTGATACAACTCTCCTTTGTACAATCGAAGAAAGATGAACACTTTCTCCTGAAGAGGAGTTAAAGTCCTTGAGTGAATTTTATTTTTTTGCTTATACCCTGTAACTTAAATACTAGTAAAGTTAACAATATTTAACTATGCTATAAAGTAGGTACATGTTGTGTTACACAATCAGGAAATAAGAGAAGAAAGAAAACAAAATTGTTGGCTATACACATACACACACACACACACACACACACACAGAGAGAGAGAGAGAGAGATTCACTAAAAAATAAGGAGGACTGATTACATTCAGAATGTCTGAATGTAGAAATAAAATACGAATAAGGAGGACATACCATAACAATGACAGTCCTTGTTGCAGTCATTAGTCACGTGGTCATAGCTGGTATTCATCACCACCTTCTTCCATTCCCCATTCTGTATTCCGTTTGTCTTCAGCAAGCCCCTCATCTGGTCCTAGCTCTTTACCTGCTGGGGTGATCCAAGCCTTCCCACTGAAGGGTCTGGGCTACCAGTATTTCTGCCTGGGTGGAGTTGATGAACTTTCCATTGACCTTAATCACAGGCATGGTAAAACTATGGGACACCTCGTGGGATCTCCTATATTCCAGACATCCTCTTCCTTATTTCCCTCGTGGAGTAGCAGTCCAGTTTCCCCTTGTCAGTGAGGATCAGTCGCCCGCACCAGCACAGGAACTCTTTTCTTTGCTTGTTGATTCAGAGGCATGAGGAGCACAAAGTGGTCAGGTGGCAGTCTTCACTTCCCGTTCAGTGCAATCCTGGTTGTGTCCTGGTGGAAGCATCCCTCCCTTTGGAACCAGTCCTCTATCCCAGCAGAACACAAGGTCATAGGAACAGGAAGCAAAAATGTTCCAGTGGGTCACCGGTATAAGAATAAGAGTACCACTGTCATTATCTCCCCTTGATTTCTGGACCTGTGAATCTGACTTTGGGAGAACACCAGTATGTATTGGATGCTGATTCAGAGCAAATACTGCCTCCTGGAGAGCCTTTCCAAGCCCCTCAAGGTACTGCCACCTAGCTGGTGCTATAACTCAGTCTTTAAAAGGTCATTCCCTTTGGGAGGCCGAGGCGGGTGGATCACAAGGTCAAGAGATCAAGACCATCCTGGTCGAAATGGTGAAACCCTGTCTCTACTAAAGATACAAAAAATTAGCTGGGCATGGTGGCGCGTGCCTGTAATCCCAGCTACTCAGGAGGCTGAGGTAGGAGAATTGCCTGAACCCAGGAGGCTGAGGTTGAGGTGAGCCGAGATCGCACCATTGCACTGCAGCCTGGGTAACAAGAGTGAAACTCCATCTCAAAAAAAAAAAAAAAGGTCATTTCACTGTTTTATCAAGCCAGCTGCCTCAGGATGATGGGAACATAGTAAGACCAGTGAATTCCATGAACACGGCCCCATTGCCACACTTTGTCTGCTGTGACATGAATTTCCCAGTCAGGAGCAATGCCGTGTAAACACCATGACTGTGGATAAGGCATTCTGTGAGTCCGCAGATGGTAGTTTTGACAGAAACATTTTGTGCAGAGAATGCAAATTTATGTTCAGGGCAGGCATCTATTCTGGTAAAAATACTGCCCTTTCCATGATGGAAATGGTCCAGTGTAATCAACCTGCCACCAGGTAGCTGGCAGATTACCCTGGGGAATGGTGCCATGTCAGGGATTCAGTGGCGGGCTCTGCCACAGGCAGAGCCTTCCCCTGTTCTGGGTCCCACTCAAAACAAGAAGCTTTTCAGGTCACTTGGCAAGTAAGTAGGAGTACATACTCTAATGAGGAATATGTTGCCTCTAAAGTTCAAATCAGCCCACTAGGCATTGTGCTTTCTTTTTGGTTTCAGGAAGGTCCTCATACAACTAATTTTTCACCTTAGAAGGGATATCTGTCTCCACATACCCATACCACCCAACCTCTGGAAATTTCACTGAGGTGGAAGGCTCTTGAATTTTCACCAAATTTATTTCCCATCCCCTGACATGGTAACAGAAATCTTCCCACAGTATTTCACCTAAAATATGTATGTGCAAGACCTCTAGGGCACAATGTTCCAGGGAAGGGCATGAGTAAATGGTTCTTATGGTTCAACCCCTGGCAGATGTGTGGTTTTATTGAGTTCCACCTGAGAACAAAGGCAGTTTAAAGCTTTCCTGATCACAACGCCCATGTATCTACTTTGCTTAATTTCAGCCTCACGACAGCCCTTACATGGTAAACAAGGCACATGTTGGCGACTGCATTTATAGAAAAGTAATCTGAGCATGGCGGAGGGAGTTTAAAGGAACAAATAGAGGTCACTCTGATTTAAAATCCTGATCCCTTCCCCATGCTCTGACATGTGCACATCCAGTGCCCACCCAGGAAAGGAGATGCCAAGAGCACGAGTTTGTAGAGACCAACAAGACATTTCTGCTCAGGTCCTTCTAAGGTACACGGTGTGAGGCAGGGAGTGGGGAAGAGGGAGATGGCACCGAAAGTGTTGATAGGAGAACTGTTTTAAGTATAACACAATAGTACTCTTGGGAATTTACATATGCTGCTGTCCTAGTCATGCAGAGAGCAAGACAGGGCATCTGTTTGAGCTACATCTGAGTCTTGGTTCAACGTCTGCACCTTTGTTTAAATTGTGTCTACTGGCCAGCCTCTCTCCTGGCTGTTAAATTCACCACCTGTAACATCTCTCACATTGGAAAGCAAATTTCAAGGACACAATGCACATCCCTTCCTCTGGGGACCTGGTCACTTACTTACTCATCCAGAGACAGGCACTGATAGGCTCTGACACAGGAGCTGGCAATGAGGTCTCCACCTGGCCAGAGCTGAGCGGCTATCTGGAATAAAGGGAGAGGGACTGCAGTGGCCAGAGCTGCATGGAAGGTGCCAAGTCCTGATGGATGGGTTGGAACTCTGAGACTGCACAGGCAAGAAGCCTGGCTTCTGATGTGCTCTGGATCTTTTGGCAGAATCACTTCATCCCTCCAGGGCTTGGCTTCATTCATCTGTAAATGAAGGGGTAAGACTGGCTGATCTCTGAGACCTATTCCAGCTTTAATTAATTCTAAGCCTCTATTTACGCAACAGAAAGCCTGTGGTACTTTCATAATGTTTGTGCCTCTCATAAAACATTTATCTCTTCCTACTCTGTAGGGTAATTTCGGTGTCTGTGCCAGACAGTGTCCGTGCTAGGACTATCATTTGGGAATTGTAGACTAAAACCATCATAATTTATTAGCTAAATGGCCTGGGGAAGGACTCTTGGCTACTTTCTTTTTTTTTTTGCAGAGACAGGGTCTCACTTGGTTGCCCAGATTGGTAACTCTTGGACTCAAGCAGTCTTCCCACATTGCTCCTCCCACAGTGCTGGGATTGCAGGCATGCACCACCACACCCAGCCATACTTTGAACTCAGTTTCTTCATCTGCAAATGGAAATATTAATGCCTTTCCTGCCTATATCCCATGGGGTAATTGTGAGGACCAGTGTTCACGATGGGTGTGAACAAGTTCTTGTAAAGTATAAACGGGTGCCCCACATGAGGGATTATCATGATGCTGAGCTGCTCGGAGACCTGGGCTCCTAGTGTTACTCCTTGAGGACCCAGCAGAGTGCTTGGCTCTTAGAAAGTACAAGAAATGTTTGCTCGGTGAATGAATAAATGAACATGTGAAGAAAAGGTAGAAGCCCAAGACGGGCAAGAGACAAAGAGATTCAGTCTGCAAATGTGTTCTGTAAGCACCACCGCACATCCTGCTTCCACGATGACCTGTTCAGGAGTTTACATGTGAGGGAGGAAAAAGCAGAGACTGTCCTATCATTCTGTTGTTCACAGCCAAGGAGCTACCTGGGAGGTGGCAGTGGAGAGGGTTGGGTGGCCCTGAGCCGGTTTTTGTTCTCTCAGCCCTGAGAGCTGCTGAAAACTCCACTCAGCTTCTCAGCCTAAGAGCTGCAGCCGTGCGTTGGTTTCTAAGCCTCTCTGCCCAAACCAGTTAGGAATCCACAAATGCCTGGAGAGGAAAAGATGTCAGGCCGACTTCAACGAGTCCTCTCTTCTCCGGGATCTTGGCCTTGGTATCCCTCCAACGCCTCCAGAAAGATGTTTTGGTCTTTCTCTAGCAGCTCTGTCTGTTCTCTGTGGGAGGAGGAGTCAGTCATAGACTCATCCACCCTGAGCAGAAGTAGAAGCCCACAGGCATGTTTTTAACGGCCCTCAGTTGGCAGTGAGCAGGGTTGAGAGTCCCTGAGCCAGGCCAGTATTCTCATGGAGCAGAGGGGAGCCTGAGCCCCAGCCACCTGCTTTGCTAATATGAGAGCTGGCACTCAAACACTGGGTGCCCGATGTCCACGCCAGTGTGCCTCCCAGGGTCCCAGGCCTGACCCCCAAGAGGTAACCCTTTGTTTAGTTTTCTTCTGTCCTTGTAAGCCGGCCAGTTGCCTCTGACCATGAGATGCACAGTGGGCTTTTCCTGAGACAGGCACTGGCCCCTCCCATGGGTAGGCAGGGCTGATGCCTGAGACACTGGGCACTCTGCTCACCCCACCCTCCTCCCTATCCCAAGCACAGAGCACAGAGCTGGCCACCCCAGGGTCCCAGACATGAGGTCAGCTGTGGCTGGACCCTAATGGGCCCGGAGAGCCTGATTACAGCCTGTGGCTTCCTGAGTAATCATGACCGCCCTCCACCTCCGCGGGACTCCAAGGCTCCTCTCCCAGCCCCACACCTCAGCCGCTGCTGCCCGTGCCTCCCTCTGGCTGAGGTGCCTTCCTTCAGCTCAGAGCAGCCACTAGCCCTCCTCTCTGCCCCTCACCCCTGCCTTGGTACTGGCAGGGTCAGTGGCACCCTGGCCTGGAGGTGCCCTGGTCAGTCTCTGCCCACATTCCTTGCCCCCACATTAACCACTAAACTATGGCTGTTGACTTCCTGCCTAGCCAGACCAGGTCACGCCTGCTACAGTCCTTTGCCGGCATGACTCATGGCTGGCCCAGAGCTCAGGCGGGCCCTGCTCACCTGAAGAAGGCAGCCTTCTGAGTCCCCTTCTCGCTAAGTGGGGACCCTGAAGCACTCTTTAGAAAAGGGCTCTGGGGTCCTCCACCTCAGAAGGAGTCACAGAGCTGCAGGGCCCTTGGAAGCTGAGTGAGCTTGCAGTCTTGGGATGAAATCTGAGTTTTGGAACGGGGCAGTGTTGCCAGCACTGCCGACAGCCTCGGGGGCCTCTGCCTCTGCATGGCTCTCTGCTTTTCCCAACCTCAGCTGGCCCAGGCGCCAGGAGCAGAGGTAGGGTGAAGACAGACGCTGTGGCGGTGCTGGCTCCCTGCCGGTTCTGCCAGGCTGGGGAGGCGGCTCCTGCACAGGCATCAGCCTGGGCCCGTGGCACTCTAGCTGCCAAGCTGCCAGGGGCTCCTGCAGACCAAGGGCACCTCCTGCCTCCTGGCTTCTCTGCTGCCACTGCTGCTTGCCACCCCTCATGCCTGGCTCACTTGACAATGGAATCTCAGCCTTGCTGCTGGCAGGCCACGTGAGCCATGCAGGGCCACATCCCCATGGCAGGGGTGGGCAAGGGCAGGCGGTGGCAGGGAACTGACTGGAAGGTTTTTATTGGCTCTGGTGGGGCTGGCTCTGTCTGGGCTCTGGTTTCCAGTTTAGGTCATAATAGAGGATGTATTCACTGACGCGGCCCCACTTAGAAACACTCTGGGAAGAAAACAGAGGGGGACAGCAGAGGCCTCAGGTCGCGTCAGCCAGGATGAAGGGGCATGGGCCACAGAAACGGATATGGCAGTGGAGGCTTTCCAGCTCCCAGGATGCAGGAGCCCTTCCCCACAGAGGCCCACTTTCTGCCTTGTGTCCTCAGGGTTGGCACAGCTGTGAGGGGTAGAAACTCTCAGACCCACACAGCCAGATGGACGTGAGCTCATCAGACCCTTGTCCTGGGTGCTAGACTGGGCTCCTTAAGGAAGGGCTGTATCTTCATCCTGGCATCTCCTGCAGGCCCTTATGCAGAGCCCAGCTGGTAGGAGGGTCCACAGCTGCTTGGTGAATCACCCTCCTCAAGCACATGCTGAGTTTTCCTGACCGCATGCCAGGCTCTGCATCCAGGGCTGGGCTGTGAGCCGCGGCTCCTGCCATCTTCCTGGGCTGCACAGTCTAGCAGGCCCACCAGACAGGTACTCAATGTTTGCTTTCACTGTGCTCTGACTTCTCTTTCTGTGCATCAGTGAAAGACCCACAACAAATGAGAACACATGGACACAGGGAGGGGAGTACTAAACACTGGGGTCTATTGGGGGGAAAAGGGGAGGGCCAGTGGGAGGGGGAGGTGGGGAGGGATAGCCTGGGGAGAAATGCCAAATGTGGGTGAAGGGGAGAAGAAAAGCAAAGCACACTGCCATGTGTGTACCTACGCAACTGTCTTGCATGCTCTGCTCATGTACCTTAAAACCTATAATCCAATAAAAAATTAAAAAAAAAAAAAAAAAGAGCTCAGCAAAGAGGCTGGAGTGATGAGGGTGGGCTTCCGGAGGAACTGACCTTTCTCTGGGCTGTCACTGTGCCCGCTTACTCACACTGGGACACACCTGTTTCTCATGCCCCACTTTCTTGGCTTTCTCCTCAATGTCACCTAACTCCAACGCTGTTCCCAACTGTCTGAGAAGTCACAGTTGGGAACAGAAGTGGGGGTGAATACAGCAGTCAAAGACCACGCGTGAGAAGGTACAGGAGGTCAGACTGGCCTCAGAGCAGGACAGGCAATCCTGGACAACCTTGGCCCCTTCTTGAAGCTGGCCAGCCCCTCGGTCCCTAACCTGAGTGTGTGCAGGGAGAAATGAGTGTCCGCTGGGCTTGTCCAACCATTGGGCTGTCACTGTGGGCGAGCCTCAGGTAGGGAGCCTCTCACAGACTGACCTCTTCCATCTTCTCTCCAACCCCAGGTGCCCCTGGCCCTCCAGGACCAAGAGGACTCAAAGGAGACATGGGCGTGAAAGGGCCTGTTGGTGGCAGAGGCCCGAAGGGAGACCCCGGCGGCTTGGGACCCCCGGGACCCCAGGGTCCTCAGGGGCAAACTGGAGAGACCGGACCTGTGGGAGAAAGGGGCCCCATTGGCCCTCGAGGGTTCCCAGGCCTCAAAGGCTCAAAGGGTAGCTTTGGAACTGGAGGACCGAGAGGACAGCCAGGCCTGAAAGGGGACTTGGGGCCCCCAGGACCAGAAGGGCCCCCGGGGTCTCCAGGGCCCTCAGGGCCTCAGGGAAAACCGGGGATTGCAGGGAAGACAGGGTCACCAGGCCAGCGGGGAGCCATGGGGCCTAAGGGTGAACCGGGGATCCAGGGTCCCCCAGGCCTCCCTGGGCCTCCAGGCCCACCAGGAAGCCAGAGCTTCTACTGAGGAGGGCTCTGGAGCAGACACTGCCTCAAAGAATGCTGGAGGGGCACAGAGCAGATCCAGGCCGCAGAAAGCCACACCTACAGACAGCTGTGGTCCTCTGATTCCAGTGAGGGGGTTCCCCAGGGCTGGCCCTGCAGCTTTGGGCTCCCCCATAGTGACTGTATCATAGGAAAGCAGTCCCTACTCACACACACATGCACACATGCACATACACACTTGTGCACACATGCACACATACACGTGCAGGCACACAGGTGCACACATGCAGATACACATGTGCACACAGACACACACGAAGGCACACACACTCACACATGCACACATACACATGCGGGCAAACATGCATGCATGCACATACATGCAGGCACACATACACAGGCACACACACCTGCACACCTACACACACAAACACACATGCACACATACGTGCAAGCTTACACATGCTGGTACACACATGCATATACACGCATGCGCACACATACACACACATGCACACATATATGCATACAAATATATAGAGACATGCGCACACACAGATTGTTCTGCTGGCCAGGGGGGCCAACTGGGTTTCCCTGGCTGGGCAGGAGGAGAGGGAAGAGGAAGAGCCCCCTTTCCTGTGACTGAGCCTGCCAGGGAGGCGGCTACCTCGGGAGGAAGGTCTCACATCTGTCTCTGGGCACCCATGCTGGCCAGCAATTTCCCAGGGCTCCCTGTGGCTGAAAAGCCCTGAGGAAACCTTTGCGGGTGGGACATTACAGCCAGAACTCCAGAGGCAAAGTGGATCTGGCAACCACAAGACCCTCCCTATCATCAGGGGAACAGGGTATCCAGGAGCTGTCCCAGCCTGTCACAGCACAGTGGAGCCATGAGACCCACCTTCTCTGGCCTTGCACACAGCGGCCCTGGAGACATTCAACAGTCATTTCTTCACATGTCCAGAAAATCCTTGCTTCATCCTTGCCTCTGCCCCTGAGGAGCAGCGCAGAAGGAATCCAAGCAGAAGTTTCATCTGCACGGGGCACTCTGCAGGCCCTGGAGCACTGGGCCTGAGTGGGGTTGGCAGACAGGCAGGCCAGAAGATTCTCTCTGCACAGCTGCCTTCCTTGCTCTCCCTGACGCTGGCCTGTCCCATTCCCCATTCCCTCTGGGGTGATGGGGAGGAACAGGCTGCAGGAGGGCCAACCCTTGTAACCGGGCAGCTCTTGCCTCCTGCACCAGGCTCTCCTGATCACAGCTGCATGCTGACCAGGACCCACCATGGCCTGAGCCCTCTCTGCATGGGAAGCCAGCTGGAGTAGAAGCGGGAAGGGCCTGGGCACGCACAGAGGCCATTCTGTCGTCACTCCTTGGCCCCCACCAACTTCCTGTACACACTGGCAGAGAGGGGCGCTGGGAAGTCACCCTGCAGGGTGGCGGTCTCCTGTTGGCTACACTCGCTCTCAAGCTGCTTTGCCTTTATGTTCAAACAGATTCAGACCCCCCGGGTTGAGGGCACAGAGTTGTCTCATCCCCAGCACGGACCCAGAGACCAGACCCTCCCCCACAAAGCCTTTCCGCACCTTCCCGAGTGTCCCGGCTGTGCAACTGGTTTGCACTGCACACCCCACGGCCATGTAACGCTCCTGTGCACGTATGATGATACCATGCTGCCTAGTATTACCGCATCAGTAAAGAGCTGTTTCCAGGAGTGAGGCGGCTTTGAGTCCTTCCTGCCTGACTTGGGGGGCATGACGCCTTCAGGGCTGCACTCCAGGTCGGCCTCTGAAGGGGAACCAGTGACGAGGGTCCCCTAGAAATTCAGGGCCTAGCCCCATTTTAGAAACACTGAGCTCGGCCCAGAACCAAAAGCGTCTGAGGGAATTTCTCGGAGAGAGCAGAAAATGGGACGCGCAGTGCGTCTTGCAGCCTGGAGCTGGAGCTCTTTGGCTAAAACAAGATTGGAAAACAGGGCAGGCCCAGACATGTGAGTGACACCTCCTGATTCTGGCTTTTGTCTCCAAGACAAGGAGATAGAACAGGAAAGGAGGTAAAGACCAGGCCAGACCTGCCCCGAGGGGCCTGGGCAGGTTACAGTGCAGATTACGGAGGAGGACAGCCAGGTCCCCTGTGAGTTGGCACAGCAACCTCTCTGGCTGGCAAAATGTGACCTAGTGCAAGATTGGGGCCCTGTTTTTTGGTTTTTGGTTTTGAGATGGAGTTTCCCTCTTGTTGCCCAGGATGGAGTGCAGTGGTGCAATCTTAGCTCACCACAACCTCCGCCTCCCAGGTTCAACCGATTCTCCTGCCTCAGCCTCCCGAGTAGCTGGGATTATAGGTGCCTGCCACCACACCCAGCTAATTTTGTATTTTTAGTAGAGACAGGGTTTCTCCATGTTGGTCAGGCTGGTTGTGAACTCCCAACCTCAGGTGATCTGTCGACCTTGGCCTCTCAAAGTGCTGGGATTACAGGCGTGAACCACCACGCCCAGCCCTGTTTTTTTGTTTTTGGGTGTTTTTTAGTGGGTTGGTGCTCATTTGAAATGAGCAAAAGGGCAGGGGAGTGAGGATGGGGCCAAGCACAGCTGCCACACATTGACCTCACCGCTTCCTCTGTGGTGCGTGGCATGAGGTTCCTCCTCCGCACTAACACCTGAGATGTCTACAGCACCTGAGAATGTTCAACACACCATAAACATCAGCCATTGTCACAACGGTCCTCGTGACATGGGTGAAGAGCTTTCTGGGCCACAGTGGGTGTGGCTCCTCTGCAGGTGAGTGGCCAGTTCCCTGCGTGTCTCATTTCACGCTCCCTGACCTGTGAGAGCTGGGAGGGACCTGGGGGATCTGAGGCTCAACTCCTTTATTTCCCAAGGAGCAAACCGAGGACTGAGAGCAGTTGAGAAGTTTGCTGCACATCTGGGACTGGGACTCCTGCCTGGTGTCTCTGGCTAGCGGGAGATCCAGTTCTCAGGCTACTTTTCCTATTGGTGAGGCTCCTCAGGAAGCCTCCTACCACATATTCCTTGGGAGGTGTTCCTGCTCCAATCTCATTCCCTGCCCTGCATCATCAAACTGCTGCTCGTATTAAATGTGGCCCTTCCGAGTATCTGGACAGCCCTAGGTACTGCTTAAACCCCTGGGGCTTAAGGGGACAGACAGAACTGTAAAGCTTGAAGCAAATGCTGGGAATCCCTGTATTCATACATTTTGTGAATGGACGAAACCCACCTCCAAGTGGGCGAGTGGGTGGGATCCGTAATGGAGGACCTCGGTGGCCATGGGAACTGGGCAGCTTGTGCTTCTGCCCTGCTGGCCCTTCATCGCTGTGGGACCTTAGGCCTAGCACTGGCCCTCTCTGACCTTCAGTTTCTTCATCAGAAAGCAGAGGGAGTGGACTGGCCTTGCCACCATTGAGCCTGGCATGTGTTCCTCTGTCTTGCCCTTCTAACCAAGTGCTTCTTCTCCTGCCCTGCTCGATTGCTTTTCTGGAACGTGCCAGGGCCAAGGTGACAAAGTCTGAACCCACATTGAGTGGTAACAAACAGCCGGTGGCATTTCAGTCCCCAGATTGGAAGCCCAGCCTTCAGCATTACGGTGATTTTAATCCCTGCCAGACTTGCAAAGCCCTGAAGTCACTCCTGGGCCTCCTTCTAAGGAGAGCAGGGCTTGCTGGGAGCCACAGACCTGGGACATGTCCTTTGAGTGCTTCTAAAATCCCCAGGCTGGGCCACTCATTTTACCCCGGTGACCTCTCCAACTCGGGGCGGCATGAGGGGCTGGGCAAGCCTCCTGCCCTCCCTCCAACTCGTCCCTAGCCAGGGCTGAGCTGGCAACTTCTGCTGGGTACACCTGTCAAAACAGAGCCACAGGAAAGGAGAGCAGGGAGCTGAAAAACATGGTCTAACCACAGCGAACTTTCCGGCAGGGCTGGGCTAGGCAGGGCTGGCAAGCCATGACCCGTGGGTGGTGCGCTGAGCAGCCTGCTTAGGGATTGCTTGGCCTGCCAGAGCACAGGCCCTTTGCTTTGCTTGTCTTCTCCTGTCTAGCCCTTTTATTTTCTTTTGAACACTTCCAAGGGCAAGACTCTGTGCTTGGTGTGACAGGCAGTGTACACAGGCTGGTGCAGTGCAACCAGGCAGGAGTCCCTCACAATGCAGATTGTGGGGCCGGGTGCCATGGCTCGTGCCTGTAATTCTAGGACTTTGGAAGGCCAAGGTGGGTGGATCACTTAAGGTGAGGAGTTCAAGACCAACCTGGCCAACATGGTGAAAGCCCGTCTCCACTAAAAATACAAGAATTAGCTGGGCAGGGTGGTGCGTACCTGTAATCTCAGCTACTCGGGAGGCTGAGGCAGGAGAATAGCTTGAGCCTGGGAAGCAGAAATTGCAGTGAGCCGAGATTGTACCATGCACTCCATCCTGGGTGACACAGTGAGACTCCATCACTAATACATACATACATACATACATACATACATACATACATAAATGCAGATTGTGGGCTCTACCCCAGAAGCTCTGATTCAGAATCAGGGATGCGGTGGGATGGGAGGAATGGGGCAGGTCTGGGCCTGGTGGTGGTGGTGGGGGGTGCAGAACATGTACTTTACCCAGTTTCGCAGGGGTTCTGATGCCGTGTATAAAACTTGAGAGCCACAGAGCCACAGGTATAGGAGACAGGAGATAAATGAAAATATTGTTTTTTTATTTATGTACATAATCACAAGTAATCTTCACAGGCAAAGTGTGTTTGAATTTTATAGGTCAGAAAAAAGGCTCAGAAAAGCTAATTCATTCATTCAAGGCCACATAGATGTTAAGTGGTTTTGAACCCAGGATTTTAGAAGCCACTACACTGAGCTACTTCTTACAGAAAGGTAGGATCGGAAATTAGATCAGACCTGTGTTTGCATCTGAGATAGCTGAGATCCACAGAATCAACTTGCTCAAGGTCCCAGAGCCAGCTAGTGACAAAGCTGTGATAAGGCTTCACACGGAGGGCTGCTGGGTTTCCCCGTTCCAGCTACCTGGTCACTAACGCCACTGGTGAGGCAGCACGGGAGGTAGCAGCAGGAGTGTGCTTCTGGCTGGAGAGTTGGCGGCTTCTCAAGGAAGCCAGGTGCCAACCTCAGCCAGACCCCCTGACTTCCCTTTTCCCTAAGCCCAAGTTCTCCAACATAGGTGTCAAACAAAATCTCCTGGCATGAGGCACAAACTATTAAATATTAGAACATCTCAATGTGTTTCATCTATTCTAGGTCACACTTTGTTTTCACATAGTCGGATGTGCTATGAAGCCAGCCATAAAGCTCAGGATGACCAAGAATATAATTTGAAAATGAATTTGTTTACTGTCCTTAATGGTAAGTAAACATCACTCTAAGTGCATATTATTCCTTGAGACACTAGCCAATTATGGTACATGAAAATAATTTATAAATAAATAAATTTACATATATTAGGAAGATGATTTAAATGTTTATTTTACTAATGGGAGATGTGATGAAAACATTTGGACCCCACTGCTCAAACCCAACTCTATTGCTTCCAACACTCTGCCTTCTGATAACACAGCTCCCCGTAGGGAAAGGAGAAAGGGAATCTCCACATGATTTTACCCAGGTTTGTGATGATAGTCCCTTCTCCTTCTGAACTCCTGGATGAAACCGTTCTCCAGGTTACAGCTCGGGACTGGCTTGTTCCTCATCATCCACCATTGTCATCATCTCAGCTCCACAGGCGGCCCTTCTTCCAGCTCTCACGGGTTTTAAAAGCAAGACCTAATGATTCATTGTTTGAAAGAGAATGTGTTTTAAATAAAAACAAAAATTAGGTAAATATTAAAAATAGAATCAATACGCCATATAAATGTTAATCATAAGAAAACTGGAATGGGCATGTAAATATAAGAGAAAGCAGACTCCAAGACGAGGCAGACTATCATGTTTAAAAGAGTCAATTTATTAAGATGATATAAAAGTCTTAAATGTATAAATAGGTAAGAAAGTTTCAAAATACCTGACGTAAGAACTGACAAAACTAAAGGGAGAAAGAGACAGATATTCAGCTGGAGATTTAATAGTACTCTCTTGGCCAGATGCAGTGACTCACACCTGTAATCCCTTCACTCTGGGAGGCCTAGGCAGGAGGATCACTGGAGCCAAGGAGTTCAAGACCAGCCTGGGCATCATGGCAAGACCTCATTGCTACAAAGAATTTTAAAATTAGCTGGGCATGCTGGCATGCACCTGTAGTCCCAACTAATCAGGAGGCTGAGGTGAGAGGATCACCTGAGCCCAAGAGTTCAAGGGTGAGGTGAGCCATGTTTGTACCACTGTACTCTAGCCTGAGCAAGAGAATGAGACCCTGCCTCAACAACAACAACAACAAAAACTCTCTCAGGAAGTGACAGGTCAAGTAGACCAAAAAAATCTGTTAGATTTGAAAAGATATGAATTAGGTCAACTAACTTAACTTTATTGATGTTTGCAGAACACAATGACCAACAACTCCAGAACATATGTTATTTTCAAAGGCACATCAGATATTAACCAAAACAGACCATATGCTGAGCCATAAGGTAAGTCCCAATACATTTCAAAAAGACTTAAATTTCACAGACAATATTCTCTCTACATGGAAGTAAATTAGAAATCAGTAAATGAGAGATACATGTAAAATCCACAAGTACTTTCTACAACAGCACAGAGACTAATATTGAAATAATGCAGAGATTAGCCTGACCCTTGTACAAGGATGACATGCAAATTCGTGAAATCTCCCATTTTCTTAATCCACAGTTCTTAGAAATTAAAAATAAAAACCTCTAAATAACCATAGATCAGAAAGAAAAACAATCACAGAGAAAATTAAAAAATATTTTGAACCGAATAGTATTGCAAACATAACATACCAAAATATGTTGGATGCAGATAAAGAAATGCGTAGGAAATTTAGAGCTTTAAATGAATATATAAGAAAAGAAAGATTTAAAAATTAACTGATATATATTCCCACATTAATGAGATAGAAAAAGAAAAGAAATTTAAACTTCAAATAAATTGAAGGTAGAAAACAAGATTAAAGCCAGAATCAATAAAACAGAAAAAAGAAAATAAGGAAAACCAACATTACCAAGAGTCAGTTCTTCAAAAAGATAAATAAAATTAAGAAACCCCTAGATAAACTGATCAAGACAAACAAGGGAAGAAATAACAGTAATGAAAAAGGAACATTCAACAGACAGTGAAGGATAAAAAAGAAACATTTTGGGGCTGGGCACCGTGGCTCACGCCTATAATCCCAGCACTTTGGGAGGCTGAAGCGGGTGGATCACGAGGTCAAGAGATCGAGACCATCCTGGTCAACAAGGTGAAACCCCGTCTCTACTAAAAATATAAAAATTAGCTGGGCGTGGTGGTGCGCACCTGTAGTCCCAGCTACTTGGGAAGCTGAGGTAGGAGAATTGCCTGAACCCAGGAGGCAGAGGTTGCGGTGAGCCGAGATCGTGCCATTGCACTCCAGCCTGGGTAACAAGAGTGAAACTCCATCTCAAAAAAAAAAAAGAAACATTTTGAACAAGGTTATACCACCAAACTCAATAACGTAGATGAGATGGGCAAATTCTTTGAAAGATAAAAATTACAGAAACTAATACAAAAAGAAAAATCTTCATTAATGTTTTAAAAATTGAATTCATAGTTTAAAACTTTTTCCTAAAGAAAACTCTAAGTCCAGATGGTTTTATTACTGACTTATCTCAAACATTTAAGAAATAATGCCAATATTAAACAAACTCTTTCAAAAGAGTAGGGAACCAGTAAGGTACAAGAAAATAAAATCATGGACAAATAATTCTCATGAATATAAATGCAAAAATTCTTAACAAATTTAATTAGCAGCCAGAGAATGAAATCTAGCCATCATAAAGAAGATAACGTATCATGGCTAAATGGGACATACCACAAGAATGCTAGGTTAGTTTCACATTTTGAAAATCAATCAATATAGCTTATCGTATGTACAGAGTTAAGGAGAAAAATAATTTGATCATCTCCATAACTCAGAAAAAAATAATTGTTAAAATTTAGCACTTTATAATTAAAACTCTCAGCAGACTACAAATGAAAGGAAATTTTAAACTTTGACAAAACCATCTTAAGAAAAACCTTTAATTAACATCACACTTAAAGGTGAAAGACCAAATGCTTCTCTCCAAAATCAAGGACTCTCACCACTTGCAGCCAAGATTGTATTGGAAGTCTGATCCTGTGAAATACAGCAAAGATAATTTATAAAAACTGGAAAAGAAGAAGTAAAATGGTCACTTCTTACAAATGAATATATTCCTAAGGAACTTACAAAAAAAACTCACTTTTAATAAAATATAAACTTTGATCAAAGTCTACAAGGTCAATATATAAAAGTAAATTGTATCTCTATATACTAGCTACAAAAAACCTAAAAATGGAATTCAAGAACTCTCACTTACACGATCAGCAAAGAACATAAAATATTTGGTAAGACATTTGACAACATTTGTTTAAAATCTCTACATGTAGGCTGGGTACAGTGGCTCACTCCCATAATCCCAACATTTTGGAAAGCTGAGGCAGGAGGATCACTTGAGGTCCAGAGTTTAAGACCTGCCAGGGCAACATAGTGAGACTTCATCTCTTAAAAAAAAAAAAAAAAAAATAGCCAGGTGTGGTGGCATGCACCTGTAGCCCCAGCTACTCTGGAGGTTGCTTGAGCTCAGGAGGTCAAGGCTTCAGTAAGCCAAGATCACGCCGCTTCACTCCAGCCTGGGCAATAGGCTGCAATCCTGTCTCAGAAGATAAAACGAACAAAGCTCTACATATAAAGTTTGAAAGCATTGCTGAAAGAAATTTTTGAAAGCCAGACTAAATGGAGCAATATACCATCGTCATGGATGATCTATCTCTATACCCAAATTGATCTATAGTAATGTAATCTCAAACAACATTCCAGCATGTGATGTTTTGATTTTTCGTTTTTTGGTAGAAATTGAGAAGCTGATGATAAAATGTACATGAAAATGCAAAGGACATAAAATAATAATAGAAAAATCAAAAATATCTTGAAAAAAAGAACCAATTTGGAGGACTTACATTGCTGGTTACTATAAAGATATTATAATCAAGACAATGTGGTATTGATGTAAAGATAGCCAGAGAGTCAAATAAAACAGTACAGAGTCAGAAGTGAATTTAATAATAAATAGTCAATTGCATTTTTACAAAGGCACTAGAGAAATGAATAGGAAAAAAATCTAAAAAAAAAATGGCACTGGAACAATTGGATATCTGTATGGGAAAAAAGTGTATCTTGATGCTCACCTCATAATATACACGAAAATTAATTTGAGACAGATCAAGACCTAAATACAAAAGTTAAAACTACAGAGCCTCTAGATGAAGGAAAATACCATCATGAATTTGGAATGGCAAAGATTTCTTAGCTAAAACAAGAAAAACATTAACCATAAAAAATTTATAAGCTGGATTTTATTAGAAGTAAAATCTGCTTATTAATAATAGGTCTATTTAAGTAAATAACATGGTATGTTACACATTAGGAGAAAATATTTGACAAATAATTTATGAAAAGAATATGTAAATATCTCTTACATCTCAGTAATAAGAAGATAGTCCACAAAAACTGGTGAAATGCTTAAACAGATACTTCAGAGAAGAATATGTAGCATGTGAAAAGATGGTCAATATTAGCAACTATCAAGTGATCAAGGAAACACAAATTAAACCATTACCCTCAGCATCATCCAAGTGTCGGCAAGGATGTAAAGCCACTGAAACTCTCATACGCTGTTTTTGGGAAAATAAAATTATGTAACCATTTCGTTTTATTTTTTTTTCTTTGGTTTTCCTCTTTCCTTCTTTTCACAGGTATTGATAGATAACTACTTTGAAAAACAATTTGGTAGTTTCTTAAAAAGTTAAACAAACACCTCTCATATAGTCTGGCTGTTCTACTCCTAGAAATTTACTCAAGAGAAATAAAAACATAGAGCCAAGAAATTATTGTACAAGAATATTCATAGGTTTGCTTATAATTGTCCAGAAACTAAAAAAAAAAAAGTCAATCATCAGAAGAATGAATAAAGAAGTTGTGGCATACCCACAGTCAAAAAGAATAAACTACATTAGACACAAAAATATGGATGAATCTCCAAAAAATTGTGCTGAGAGAAGCCATACAGAAAAAGGATACATCATCTGTAATTCCATTTATGGAAAATTCTGGAACAGGCAAAGCCAATCTAGAGTGGTAGAAATGAGATTGTTACCTAAGGCAGAAGTGGGTGTAATTGACTGTAAAGATGCGTAAGGAAATCTTCTGAGGCGAGAGAAATGCTCTATTATCTTGATTGGGGTGGTGGTTATACACACAGGTGTGTGCATTTGTCGAGACTTGCCAAATTATGTGCAATAATATGTGTGCCTTTTTTCTATGTAAATTGTACATTATAAAATCATAAAACTGATTTAAAAACATCAATATTTTACTCACTAGAATAATTAAAATTAAAAAGGCATAAAGTGTCAAATATTAGGATTTTCCCGCTAGAAGTATAAAATGGTAGAACCTCTTTGGAAAACGGTTTGGCTTCTTATGAAGGCAAAGACCCATTTACCAGATGACTCAGCATTTCCACTCCCAGGTATTTGCCCAAGAGAAAGAAAAACACAGTCTACAGAGACACTCATACAAAAACACTCGCATCAACTTTATTCATATTTGCCCCAAACTGGAAACAGCCCAGATATCCATCAACAGGAGAATGGGTAAGTAAATTGCGGTATTTTCATGAAATGTGACACTGTGAAGAAAGAGGAGGAGGAGAACAAGGAAGAAGAGGAAGAAGAAGAAATAGAGGAAGGAGGAGAGCAACAATAAAATATAAGCAATGACATGAAAAACACTCAAAAACAAAGTAATGAAGAAAAGAAGCTACACACAAAGACAATCGTATAGTATGATTCCATTTACATTAAATTTTATAAAAGACAAAGCTACTCTGTGATGCTAAAAATCAAGAGTCCTTGCCTCAGGTCATGCAGGGAAGGGCAAGAACTGATAGAAAAAAATGTTTTGGCTGTCATGAAAATGGTCTCTATATTAACAGATGTGTGATTTAAACAGGTATCAGCATTTGGCAAAATTTATCAAACAATACCTAAGATCTGTGCATTTCACTGAATATAAAGTAAAATTTAATTTTTTTAAAAGTCAGAAAAAATAGAAATTCAGTTTCAAATGCTTGTGAGCCAAAAAAAGAAGCAATAAAAATTAGTTTAAATAAATATAGAAAACATTTTCAAACTACTTTATAATGAAAATAAGAGGAATGTAGCTGAGGCAGCAGTTGGAGAGAAAATTAATAGTCTTGAACATCTATATTAGAAAAAGAAGTCTAGGCGTGGTGGCCCATGCCTGTAATCCCAGCACTCTGGAAGGCTCAGGCAAGAGGATCACTTGAGGCCAGAGTTCTAGACTAGCCTGGGTAACATAGGGAGATCCTGTCTCTACAAAAAATAATTAATAATAAGAATTAGCTAGGCATGGCAGTACAGACCTATAGTGCCAGCTGCTTGGGAGGCTGAGGGAGGAGGATCTCTTCAGCTCAGGAGTTCAAGGTTACAGTGAACTGTGATTGTGCTACTGCTCTCCAGCCTGGGCAACAAAGCAAGGCTGTGTCTCAAAAAAAAAAAGAAAGAAAGAAAAAGAAGAAAAGCTAAAATAAATGAACTAAGTGTTCAACTTAAGAAGTTTGGCCAGATACAATGTCACCTATAGCCCCAACTACTCAAGAAGCTGAAGCAGGAGTATCTGCTTGAGCCCAGGAATTTGAGGCTGCAGTGAGCTCCGATGGCGTCTGTGAATAGTCACTATACTCCGGCGTGGGCAACATAGTGAGATCCTTTACCTTAAAAATGTTTTTAAATCAGTGTTTAAAAAAAAGTTTGCAGAAGTGTACCAGAACACACACAAAGAAAGAAGAAAGGAAATAATAAAGGGTAGAAATCGGTGAAATGGAAAAAGGGGTTTAGAATAGGGAGGGCCATTAAAGCCGAAAGTTCCTCACCGTCTTCTTCAGGTAACAGCAACAAACACTAAGCAATATCGATGAAGAAAATGATAAAAGGCACAAATACTGAATATTAGCAAGGACATTAAAAGGAAATATTTTGAAAATTTGATCCCAATAATTTTGAAAACTTAGATGGAACAAATTCATAGGAAAACATAAGTCACCAAAACTGACCTAAGAACTAGAAAACCTGAATAGTCTGAAACCATTAAAGAAACTGAATCAGTGGTTTTAAACATTCCCACAAGGAAAACGCGAGGCCCGCATAGAAAGACCTACAGGCAAATTCTACCGAAACACTCAAAAAAGTCAAAATTCCAATCCAACACACACTCTTCCTAAGAACTGAAAAAATAGGGCTCGTCCCCTAACTTAATTTATGAGGACAGAAAGTCCTGTTATCCAAAGCAGAAAAGAAAATACCTAAATGGAAGCAGGGCATTTAGTATATTAAGCATCCATTTACCATTTGTGAAAAGTCTTATGAAACTAGGAACCTTTAGATCTAATAAATAGTGTGTACCCCAAATGCCCACATCTTTCAGAAAGCTGAGTAAGTGAAAGTATTTCATTTAAGAGAACCAGACACGACGTGTCCCCGTTATGGTGCAATGGAAAGGATACAACACCACCTATGAAGTTGACTTGCCAAAAAAAGAAAGAAAACAAAAGAAAATTGACCCTAAGTGTAATTGAGCCTCTAGACCAACCTTCAGTTTACAGGCAAGAGCTCCAAAGAAAGAAACGTTAAATAGCACGATTTTTATGACTGGGGGAGGTGATGGCCAGTCAAACCCAGTTTCTCCAGCAAATAAACACATGGAGCGAGGGGGAGACAAGTGCAGAGAATATTAGAGATTAAAAGAGACTTAAAATTAATCTTGAGATAAAAGTTTATTGCCAAAAGAGGACTTACGAGATACATCAACCAAAGGCAATGTGAGGACAGTGTTTGAATCTTAAACAAACCAACTTATTGATAAAAGCTTTTTTTGAGAAAATGCTAGAATGTGAATGTAGATTTTATTATTAGATCTTAAGAAATTATTGTTTCAGCATGAGAAACACGAGCGTCATGAAGAAAGGGGACACATTCTCTGCAGAATTTCCGAAGGGTTTTCGTCCGTCTCTGCTGCTCTCATTTGCTGGCCATTGCATTGGGGATCTGTAATGGAAGGCATCTGACAACCTCCACCAGCGCCTTTTAGTGAAGAACTGGACTCTGGCTTTGCTCGTTAGTGGGATTACTTCTGAGCTTGCAGCGTGGCTCATTGAAGAGCTGTTAAATCCTTGGGCGGCTGCTGCACTTGTGTTTATTTGTTCTGTAAATGCAAAAAAAAACCTAAGTAAAATATTTTTAAAATTAAAAAATAATTGTTGTTGCTGGGTGCAGTGGCTCATGCCTATAATTCCAGCACTTTGAGAGGCTGAAGTGGGAGGATTCCTTGACTCCAGGAGTTTGATACTAGCCTGGGCAACATAGGGAGACCCCCCTTCTCAACAAAAGAGGAAAAAAATTAGCCAGGTGTAGCGGCGCACACCTGTAGTAGTCCTAGCTACTTAGGAGACGGAAATGGGAAGACTGCTGGAGCCTGGGAGGTTGAGGCTGTAGTGAGCTATGATTGTGCCACTGCACTCCAGCCTGGGCGACACAGTGAGACTCTGTCTCTTAAAAAAAATACATACATACATATATATGTGTATGTATGTAAACTTCGAAGACAAAAAATTATAATACTATGAACAAATGTTTTAGCAAGAAACAAGGAGGACACAGGCTTCTCTGTTCACCATCATGGGGCCTCCTGGGGGTCCAGGCTGCTGGTTCAACCGTCTACACCACAGCTCCCTGGCTTCTGCAGGTACCATTTATTTCTCCTTTGTTCTTTAGTGCTCCCGGCTTAAATCCTGTCTATCCTGCAAACCCAGCTCAGATGCTGCCAATAGCCAGTAGCGGTTGTGTTAGTTTTCGAGTATCCACACCCTCTTCTTCAGGTAACAACATCCCTATTTTCTGTTTTTCTTCAACTTTTAAGTTCGGGGTACACGTGCAGATGTGCAGGTTTGACACATAGGTAAATGTGTGCCACGGTGGTTTGCTGCACAGATCCACCCGTCGCTAGGGATTAAGCCCGGTATCCATTAGCTGTTCCTCCTGAGGCTCTCCCTCTCCTTGCCCATCTCTCTTCAGGCCTCAGTGTGAACAACAACGCTATTTTCTTTGGAATAAATACCTTTAATAACTTCATATGGTTCAAATGAGGCTGACCTCACCAACCACTTTCCCCGGGGCATAGGTAGGCAGGTGACTCAGGTCTGACCAAAGATAATATCACCTTGATTGCAGGGACAGGCTTTTTACCCAGGCTGAACTAATTAGCCAAAGAGTGTCCACTCCCAGACTTTCACTGGCAGTATTAGAAAAGAGGCACTTTCTCTTCTCTGGGTTGCTAATTTAGAAGAATGAAAGCCTGGAGCTGTCGTGGTCATTTGTCTGCATAGGAGAGAAGACCCTACCTCAGAAAGACGCGCCATAAGAAATAGAGACACAGCGCCTGATGCCAACTTTAGAGTCCCTGAATGTGGCCATACTTCCCCGCCTCTAATCAGACTCCTTCCTCAATCTTGCAGGATATTAATTAATGAAAGACCCTGGGTGGAGGGAGAGATGAAAAGAGAGAATAAGAAAGAGAGGGAAGAGAGCAAGAGAAAATGAAAATGGGAAGGGCAGAGAGAAAGAGGGAGGAAGGAAGGCAGGGAGAGAATGCATTGTCTCTAGAATCAAGAACAAGACAGAAGTCTGCCTGCTTTCACCACTTACTCAACATTGGACTGGAGGTCTTGTAAATTTCAGTAAAGAAAAATAAATGGTAAAATGTACAGAGGGACTGACTCTCTGGTGTCTGGCCCAAGAGGGCCAGAGGATGCTTATCTTAGAGAAAGAAAAGCAGGCCAGGTGTGGTGGCCAGTGCCTGTAATCCCAGCACTTTGGGTGGCCGTGGCAGTTGGACCACCTGAGGTCAGGAGTTCAAGACCAGCCTGGCCAACCTGGTGAAACCCCATCTCTACTAAAAATACAAAAATTAGCTGGGTGTGGTGGCGGGTGCTTGTCATCTCAGCTACTCAGGAGGTTGAGGTGAAAGAGTTGGTTGAACCTGGGAGGCAGAGGTTGTAGTGAGCCAGGATCGAGCCACTGCACTCTAGCCTGGGCAACAAGAGTGAAACTCCATCTCAAAAAAAAAAAGAAAAGAAAAGCAAGGAAGGACTAGGAACCTGATGGCTTCTTTAGCCAAGAGGAAGAACATTTTGGACAGGAATAGTAGGAGCTGTTCCAAGAAACTTTCAACTATTCAAAAATATTTCTTAAATGTCTCCTGTATTTTGAGTATTCTAATGAAAAATGATAAACAGAACTGGTTTCTGGAACAAGTCTTTGTCCCTGTAATTAGTAGCCTGTATACAGTTTATACTCTACAATTATTTCCATCTTCAGAAGGGGATGATTTGTTGTATTAATGATAGGTGGTCAGTGGTGACTTATGATGGGGAAGCGGGGGGAAAAGTGGATAGAAAGCAATACATAAAGGAAAAAAACTGCAAGTCCTTGATTAAAACGCTGCCAGGTGCAGTGATTCACACTTATAATCCCAGCACTTTGGGAAGCTTAGGGTAGAAGGATCACTTGAGCCTAGAAGTTCAAGACCAGCATGGGCAACAGTGAGATTCTGAATGTACAAAAAAATAAAAAAGTTAGCTCCCAAGGAAGAGGAACGAGGAAGGGAAACAGGAGCAGCTGATGAAAAGCGTGATTATCCTGAGCTAGTTCCAAGCTAAGCCAGTGACCCAACGCAACGCCGGGAATGCACTGAGCTGTGACCCACTCGTATCTCATAATCTTCCCACAGCACAGAGGGCAGATCCAGGTGGGAGGACAGGATTACCAACGCCCTGTCTTTGAAAACACAGTGCTCTTCTGTGTGGATGTGGGTAGGCAAGCACGGAGAAAACACCTAATTGCTCTGGAATCTGGGAACTGTGTGTTTGGAGATGGCCCAGCTGGGTCCTCGCAGGGCCCCAGGTCCTCACAGAATTTGGTGGGATGGGAGGTCTGGGTGTTCTCTCAGCTATGCTTCAGCTGGGCCGGAACCAGCAGAAGATCCTGGATCCATCCCAAAGACCAGTGTGGACCAGAAAGGTGGTTATGTATTTATCATGAGCACAACTTACTTCTAGGCTGGGCGCAGTGGCTCAAGCCAATAATCTCAGCACTTTGGAAAGCTGAGCCAGGAGGATTGCTTGAGGCCCGGAGTTCAAGACCAGCTTGGACAACATAGCAAGACCCCATCTCTAACAAAATAAATAAATACAATGAAGATTTAAAAAAAAAAAAAAAAACAGCTTACTTCTATAGACCAAATATCTGTATATGTTATCCAGAGAGGCTACCTTTTCCAGGATTAGAGTACCCAAGAGACTGATGAGAAGTAACAGTGTTACTTTGGAATTTCTAGCCCCTTCTGGTCTTGACTCTCTGGGATAAAATACAGGAATTACTCACCCCCATGCTTCATCATATTGTCGCAAGAACTGAAACAAACAAGCATGTATCTTGGTATCTCTGATGGTTTCTTCCCATCAGTCAAAGTTCACAGGCCAGCCCCACCTAGTCAGCACAAGAGCAGCCTCTATGCATTTTAAGAAGGGGGGCAAACATTCTCCATGTCTCAAAACGCTCGTGCCCCTGACTCTGCATCTTGACGTCTTCTCCCTCTCAGTCTCTGGTTCTGTCTCTCTCTGCCTCTCTGTCTTCCTCTTTCTCTCACACACATGACAAGATGTATGTTCAAGGATGTTTATTGAAGCAGTCTGTAATAGCAAAAGATTGTAAATTAGCCTGAATTTCCATTAAAATGAGGCTGCTTACATTACGGTGCATCTGTAACATGGGAAATTACGTGGCTATTAAAAAGTAGTAAGTTAAGGCAGCTCTCTGTACTGAGAAGATTTGCAACATTTCAAAAATGCATTTAAAAAGTTAGAAGATTTCAAAGACCAGTGTGCAGAAGAGCTATCATTTGTGTAAAAAGTATAAATATATACAGTTAAAAAAAATTTTTTTTTTACAAGAGAGTGTCTTGTTCTGTCACCCAGGCTGTAGTGCAATGGCAAAATCATAACTCACTGTGACCTCAAACTCCTGGGCTCAAGGGATCCTTCCACCTCAGCCTGGCTGTAGGCATTACACACCGTGCCTGGCTAGTTTTTTAATTTACTTTGGAGATGAGGTCTCTCTATGTTACCTAGGCTAGTCTCGACCTCCCAGCGTCAAGTGATCCTCCCATTTTAGACTCCCAATGTGCTGAGATTACAGGCATAAGCCACCACGCCAGGCCATATACATAGATGTTTTTAAATGCTGAGACCACCTTTGAAAAGATCCATAAAACCTGGTAATAGCAGCTGCCTTTGAAAAAAGGAACTGAAGATCAGAAGTAGAAAGGAGACTAACTTTTCCCTGTATACTCTTCTGCCCCTCTGGAATTTTGTGCAAGTGTTAAGCAATCATTTATATTTTAAAATATAAAATATATTTTTTTATATTTTATATTTTATATATTTTTAAATATAAAAAAGTAAACAAGGCAGGCTGCCTTTCCAAAGCAAGGAGTATTTACATTTCATCCAATTTGGGGAAAGCCTAAGAACTCCTCAGTCTTCATTAGAAAGTATGGCTTTCTAGGGCCCACACATCTGGGTCCCACCCCAACCCCCATCTTACTTCCTTGGCCAGAGTGGCAGAATCTTAGAGAGAGTCTTACTTCCTTTTACTTTCTTCTCTTTTTCAAACTGATTCCTTTCTTTTTGTGCTTGTCATGACATCATGTTCGTTTCAATATACTTTTCTAACATACCAATGTTTCCAGCCTGACCACTTGTTTCATCCTGATTATAATTCACGATGGCAGCCCCTGAGGAGCCAGAGGCAGGCTGGTTGCACTCACTGAATCGCTGTCTCTTCTGGGAAGTCCCTCCCTCCTCCGCGTTAATCCTACCCCTGGGGATTCCTGTAAATTTCAGCGCACAAATAGCCCTTTTGTCACCTGAGAGTTCTGTTCTTCCTCCTGACTTCATCCTCGATCCCTTTTTCTCCTAGACTTTGGGCCCATTTCCTTGTGGGTCCTATGATTCCCTTTCTGCACTTTTTAATCACTCAAATCTCCAATCCTCTCAACTCCGATCTCCCACCTTTATCATTCACCAGTGCCAGATCACAAAGCCTCCCAGATCACTCAGGTTTCTGGTAGGAGGTTATAAAGGACCTCTAAGATCCAGCACTTCCC